ATAAATATCAGTGTTTTCCAATACCCCTATGAAAGAGTCATTCACTCTCAAAGGGGTCGAGACCCACAGGTTGAGAACCCCTGCTCTGAGTATTACTGCAGCCGTGGATGGAACTTGACACCCAAGATAAAACAATTTGACCGCAAGAGTCTACCACAGGACAATAGTAGCAGAGCACAGAGTGATGTAATGATACCTTCACTTTATTCTTTTCACAAGATTAGGTCGTGATATTTTAGATGTATTGTCATTGAACTATACTTCACAACTGTTTCTCCAGGTTGTGTCTTCCCAATGTCCTTCAGACTTGCATAAGATTCCATTCACTGGCTAATTCACATGCTGTTCTAACTGTTGCTATGGCGCATGGCCTTGTGTTCTTTTTTGTTTATATAATGTTAAGAAATGTTAACTGCATGTCTCTGGGTGGAGACATTTTGAAAGCTTTTGGGGGAATATTGATAGGTTTTTTTATTGGTTATATTAGAATTCAAAGTCACATTTTCTTTCACAAGCTGTAGAATCTTACATGAATTGTCCCTGAATGTTTCGGGATTTTTTTTTACCCATACAATGGAAGTAACATGACAGAAAAGCACTACCAATCTCTACTCCCCTGACAATGCAGGACACACTCAGGACCTGAACTCTTGCTGAGCTTATTTTCAAAAGAAATAAATCAAGGTGGAAACTACTTATCTTTATTACAAATAACATGAGACATTTCAGATTTAAAATTTAGCTCATAAATTACGTATTATTTTTAACTATGGGCATTTTCATATCTTGTTTGTTTTAAGAACTCGTATACACTTTTTGTGAAATACATCCACCTTTCATTTTATGTAATCATATTTTAAGTCAGTTTAATTAATTTTCCATTTAAACACTTAATTCATGTAAGTAACTTATTTGCTTAACAGGTGATATGAGTATTGTCTAAAAAAACTTGTTGATTAATGCCTTCTCTCAACACTGATTTTGAACAATGGTCTTAACCCTCGCAGTTGTGGAATTCCGTTTCCCTTTTCCCACTCTGCTTCCAGTACTTGAATACAGCTCCCTTTTGTTGATTTCCATGACTTGTATCTTTATTTTAATTATAGGATATGTTTTATCATCCAGAAGTTAATGTCGTTCTTTGAAGCATTTCAGCCTCTTTTTCCCCCAAATAAACACCACTAGAAAGTAAAACATATTAATTTTATTTGGAATTTATCTGTGAATTTTGAAAGAACTGACAGCTATGAATAACAGCTTGAAGTTAAGTCCCAGAGTCGGGAAGATTTATTTACTCTTCTTCTGATCCCTGAGCTTTGACCATACCGTGACCAGAAACAGGAATGAAACAAGTTTGACTGAAAGGCCAAGTGAACCACATATTTGTGACTGAAAACTCATGAAAGACTGGAGACTCTACTCAGGGCTGCTCTCATTCATTATTTCAATTAAACCTCCCAGATTGTTTCTCGGTAAATGTGAGAGTATAAAATGTAAGGGCGAGCCTGAAAACCTGAGTTCAATCCCTGGAACCCACGTAAATGTGGAAGGAGAGAAACTTCACAAAGTCACCCTGTGACCTCCACGACACACGGTGATGTGTGCTCGCCACCCCCCACAATACACACAGGTACACATACAATAATTAATAAATGAAATCAGGTGTTTCCTTTCTCCTCTTCGTCAGATTCATGCAAGTGGTAAAATTTGTCTCTGGAATCTGAGTCAGTGAAAGATCTGCTGGAGAGAAGGATCAAAGACAGAGTCAAGACAGTCAAAAATTCTAATCATACAGCTGAGGTATCATAAGCTCTTTTTGAGTAGGGGCTGGTAACTTAGCCCAGTATCCTGTGGAAACTATACATATGAATCTCTGCTGAGTTAGCTCACTGACTCCAATTGCATTCTTACGTGTACAAATCGGCCAGTTCCTATGCCTTATGGGCAGCCTCAGTGAGTGTATGTGTTTTACTCACTTGGTGTCTGCTAGCTTTGTAGTTGTTGATTTTTTTTTCTGGCAAAAATTAATGGGAGAAAATTAAATATTATTCCTATAATAGGCTTTAAAAAATCTACACTTTCAAAAGTGACTGGAAAGGGATACTTGTGTTAATGCCAGGGAAAATCAAACTCTTGTAGCGCATGCGACTTTTACTTCAAGAACGAATCCTTTCCTGCAGTTTTCTGACTTGGCTGCCTGAATAATCCTTTGAAACCATGGAAGCCTCTCTCAATCAACGACACTCACAAGCCCGAGCCTATCTGCAAACAGCTCAGAACTCCAAATGAGACTGTCCACCATGTGGCTGCCATTCCAGAAGTCTTCTTACAGGACCACATCTTCCCCAGCTCCTCCCCTGTTTAAATTGCATCTATCGTCACATTCCAGATCAAGATTTTTTTTCATTTCCCAGGCACTAAGGGAGCGTTCAGCAGCCTGGTGTTTTCCTGCATTGTTCCCTACCCCCACTGACCCCACCTTTCTCTGTTTCTCTGTTAATCTGCATCTTATTTTTCTGGAGAGATCTTTGTGTATCCACTCACCCTGATCTGGGCTATCTGCAGCACACATGTTGATAACTGAAATAGGAAAGGTATTCTAGTTGACTATATGTTCCAGTTTCCAGTCCATCCTGCCGAGTGATGGGTAGGATGATGTTGGTCCATGGTGCTGTCACCTCAAATGCCACCAAGACTGCTACTCAACACAGCAGCCTAGACACTGGACTGTATGACAGCTGTGGCCTGGGATACTTCCGTTCCAGTGCTTGTTTTGCTCTGTCCATAAAGTTAGACACTCATTGCAGGGTAGGATGAGGGGACTATTCCAGATGAGGACACATGCTGTCAGCCAAGCTCCTAGAAATCTTCTTGTCTCAGCTTTTAGACTGCAGGAAGACGAAAAACGGAGACAGAAAAGGCAAAATCTTTTAATATTTTATTAAAATACAAAAAACCCTTTCCTTTGTGGTTAATACTTCTGTGTTATATTGCACATTCTAAATCATGCTCACAGCAGTCTACCCTGTTAGCTTCCTTGGAGTTTAGCAGATTTATTAAGTACAATTCCCTCCTAGGTAGGCTGCTTTACCTCAAATCTTACCTCTTTGTGCCTTTAATTAGATGGACCAGTCCCTCTAATATTTAGTACAAATTTACTTCATGGAAGCAAAACTTTATCGAATTAGAGTTGCTGACGAGTGTGCTCACACATGGTACTGACTGTTTCTTTTATTGCGTCATGTGAGTATTTAGAAACAGTACTCACCCTCCCCTTTTGATGTAATTTCAAGATTTCAGAAACTTAACCTAAAGCTCCTTGATACATCTTTTTTCCTTATTGGATGTAGTGCTTTTTCTAATGTGGTACTGTTAAATCAGTAGGCAACAATAACATGTTACTTCATATCCAGAAAAAAACTGGAAAAATACCAGTTTTTATTTTCTTATGTTTGTCCAAATTCATTATTCAACAATTGTTGTGTTTTTACCAGAAGCAGGATTAGAGTAAGCCCCCACCAACTAAAAACCTGTGCTTCCAAGTGCTGCTTTTCTTTCCTTTCTCCTGGCCATGGCTGGCTGCAGGGCAGGACCTCCTGCTCTGCATACTATCTAATCTTGGTGTTTAGAGATTGCTTTCCTCTCTCTCTCTCTCTCTCTCTCTCTCTCTCTCTCTCTCTCTCTCTCTCTCTCTCTCTCTCTCTCTCTCTCTCTCTCTCTCTCTCTCCCTCTCTCTCTCTCTCTCTCCCTCTCCCTCTCCCTCTCTCCCTCTCTCTCTTCTTACTTTTCTATTTTTTCTAACCCTTACTCTTTGCAAGGAAGCCAGAAGTGTGACAGAGAGGTGTGATTTTTAATTTACACCAGAGTCTTGCAAATAATGACTTTTCACACCCCGCGATTGCTGCTTAGCCTGGGGGAGGAGTTCTGTGGCTACTGTTTGTTGAAGCAAATTAGATCCACTGTTGAAATTCAAAAGGTGTCCTTCTTTATTTAACCCTTGTTTTCAGTTTTTCCAGCTGGTGTTTGTAGACACTTAGAGTTTGTGGCCCCGTCCATTACTTTGAAGTTTTTTTTGTTTTCTAGGAAATTGCTTTTGAAGTTTGTTATTGTCAAACTGTCCTGCAAGAAGGGGACATCTTTTTTTCTTCAATTCTTAGTCTGATGCTGGTAACTATAACTTACTTGAAAACACACACAAGCAATAACGTTTATTTTTAAAACTTCCCAAATAAAATTTAAACACATAAACTAATACATATTTTTATCTTTCCCTATTGTTCCAATGCCACCAACCAAGGGGACCTTTTCTCTGTATCTTTACAAAATAATATCATACAGGGAAATGATAAATCATCTGTAATAAAAGTCAACTTTGGTGAAAGGTTAGAGTATTTTAGGATTTTAATTTTTTTTTTGCTTCTATCAATTCTTAGAAATCCCCGGGTTGAATTATAAAGGCAGGAAAGACCCTTCCTTGAGGAAATGGGAAAATTACGAAAGTTGGGAGGGCAGGTTGGCGGCATGTCAAGTGGTGAGTACTGAAGAATGTACCTTACAAAGTCTGTGCTTGCCTCCTTCGCTTTGACATTAGCGTTTCAGTTGTTTTTAATACTAAACAAGCCCAACTGCCTGAAAACATTACACTGGCTGTCTTACCAGTCATAATAGTGTTTGGTACCATTTGAGAATGTAATAGAATATGTGAGAGGGACACTGGAAAGATGGGAGAATGATACTTGAAGTCACCTTCTGCGGAGAAAGCTGCCGCTGACTTCTGCTAACCTACACTGCCAGAGTGACGGGCAGCACCTTCTCTTAGCCGGGAGCAGCAAGGGGTTAAGCCATGGTGGTTTACTCATCGCTCTCAGTCAGGCTTCTATCTGATCCATCCTCCCTTTCTCCCTTGCCCACCCCTCTGTAAATGTCAACCACTTCCTGATGATTTCACACCTTTCTGTTCTTTGTGAAGAAACCTGGGTGTTAATGGTACAGGATTGGGTGCCATTGTGTGCGCTGGGCTGTCTGTTAGTTAAACTGAGGGATGCCTGTAGAAATAAAGTAGGAGAAGGTGAAGAAATGAGACTAGGCAATAGGAGAAAATCCACCTTTAAAGCCAGTATTTGCTTTATTAGCAACTTTTAAGTGTACATTGTAAAAAAAAACTAAGTATTGAAAGGAGTGTAGCCGAGTAGAGAGGTGACTATTTAAAAAAAAATCAAGGAAGAAAGGAAGGAAGAAAGGAAGGAAGGAAGGAAGGAAGGAAGGAAGGAAGGAAGGAAGGCAGGCTATCCTCACCTTTCTTTCTACAGGTGTATTGACAAGAATCCGGCAATGGAAACTTGGTCAGTTGAGCAGGTCTGCAAGTGGCTGGTGGAGAAAAACTTAGGTGAGCTGGTCCCCAGGTTTCAAGGTGAGTTGTTTATTCTTTCAGTGAATTTTACTTGAACCATACAGTTGTGCAGGTGCCCTCTGTTGGGAAAGCTGCTTTTGTTGCTCGTGTCTGCCTGTTGTGGAAAAGCAGTTGTTCGGATGAAGAACTCCATCTCTTTCCTATGGACTGGGGCAGTTTCCAGCATAGCTAGCATGCTCTGAAGAGAATACCATTCCTAGGTGATTGCAAACTCTTGGGAGTTATACTTGCTACAGACCTTATGTGTTTCTTTTGCCTTACATAATCATGTGTGTTTTATACAGTGTGGGATGTGCCAGTATTAAACATCAACTAGGAGGTATTATAGAAACAGCCAGAGACCTTCTATTTCTTTTGGCTATTAAAACTGTCCTAGGGATGGGTGTTAATGTGTAAACAGAAAGTTTTTATCGGGACTCTGTGTTCTGGTAATTTCTTAGCAACAGACATCAAGTTTGAACTATGCAATATCAGAGCTATGACAGATCATCCTGTAACTGCCACCACAGGCTTAGAGGAGCCTTTAAGTATTTCTAGTAGTTCTATCTTTTTTCTATGTCCATGCTTTACCGGGAAGTTGTATGAAAGCTAATGTTCTTTTTCCCAGAGGAAGAAGTCAGCGGAGCCGCACTCCTGGCTCTTAATGATCGGATGATACAGCAACTAGTAAAGAAAATTGGACACCAGGCTGTTCTAATGGACTTCATTAGGAAATACAAGCAGAGCAATGAATGGCCAAAGCCCACTGGAGGCCCTAGAGAGACATCCCTGTTGACCCTGGCTCAAGCTGCCCCTGAGTGAGTACACGGATGGACAGGCTTGGCTTTTGTCCGCTGTTTCTGCATGGCTCTCGCCTTGTGGCAAATAATCAAAGCTCTTTCACAACTGGGGTCAATTTTCAGCTAGATGGTGTGCACGGTATTTCTAATATTTGACTCACTCTTAGGAGGAATTGTGTCAGGATTGGTTGTTTTTCTTTCCACTGTTCTTTCAACACTGACTGCGGTTGTCAGGGCAATCCTGAAGGCAAAAGGTTCCTGCACGAGCTGATGCAGAGCCAACAGTAAAAAATGCACATGCTGGTGTGGAAAGGAGATGAGCTGCTGTAACTGGACTACCACCCGGATCTGTGACCGACTCCTTTGCCTTGCCCCAAGCTGTGTGTTCAAATGTGGGTTTATTTGCCTAGGTCTCTCTGTGCTAAGTAATTTATACTCTCTTCTCTAGGACCTTCACAATAGAATTTGCTAACTCCTTTGCCACAATTGAGTTTCATGAATCTTGGAGAGTTAACCATAAAATCTGGAACACTGTGACAGGATGCTGGGAGATCGTGTAGAAAATTCATGGTGTCAGATAAAGTCTCTAAGGTTGGAGGGTGGCTTTGTTTGTTTTTACATCTGATTTTTCGATCTAAAGGGATGTTAACAAAATTCATCAATTAAAATTTTCGTTTCACCTCACTATGCTTTCAGGCACTCTGGTTTAATATTTCCATATTTAAGACTTGTCAAGACTTTTAAGGTTAAATATTTGCTGTTGACCATTCACCATTCATTTAAAAAAATTAAGATGTGATATATAATGGCATCATTTTATTTTTACCTTTCCTGAAATTAGCCCTGTAATTACAACTATTTCTCTTTTTCTTGATAAGCAATCTAACATTAGAAAGACTTGGCTTAAGTAATTTGATTCCTGACTATTTAGATATTTAGAACAGGTAGCCATGAAGGGCTAGTCTTACGTTGTACTGAAGAGTAGGGCATGGTTGCTCCAATACTTGAGAGGCTGAGGCAGAAGGATTATTGTGAGTTTGAGGCTGATCTGGGCTACAACGCTAGATGTTGTCTTTTAAAACAATAATAACAATAAGTATAAATGAGGTCAGACTGGAAATTCTTGCAAGTGACTTTTTTGGAGGATTTTTTCCAAATATGGTTGTGGCATGGTCTTGCATCTGTGACTTTTTGTGAAGTTCCCATTGTAATCTTTTAATCTACTCTAGCAAAAAGTCGGGGGGGACTTCAAAGACATTGCAATGTCATTTCCCTGCACTTTGGCATTTTGGGGTGGCTAGTATTGAGCTGGAAGTCCCTCCTTGTTGACTGGAATCTTGATCTTTCCTTGGGCACAGCTCAGAAGAAAACTGGCAGCCTATAAATCCACTTGTACTGCTCTGGTGCGGGTGGGACTGCCAACAGCCTGGGACTTCAGCCCTGCTTTTACCACTGACTTGGATTGATTTGGGGTTGGAGATGTTGTTTTTTCATCTGCACGTTGAGAAAGTGATCACACTCCTCGCTACTTGAAGCCACACTATGAGACACCATAATCTCGGGGCAAATCTTTGATTGCTTTACCAGACCAGCATAGTCCTCTGTTACTAATTATGAAGCTTTCTTAACCAGGTTATGAATGCTCCTTTCAACTGTAGATAAGCCTGGGCATACTGGTAGACCAGAGAGTTATGAATGTGAGTTTATTGATCTATGCAGCAAGTTCCAAACTTCCTTTAAGGATTTGTGTTGTCTTGTGTTTAGGTGAAAGAATTCTTGTGTGAAATCACAAGTTGCCTGTTGGTTATATTTGCAAAGCAAATTTTACTTAAAGAGTATGCTTCAGAGGATAATAATAAGCAGATATGAATATATGCCATGGAATCAAGCATTTGTAGAAAATGCTTAATATGACAGGAAACTTGATGTCACCCTACAGTTATGCAACTAAATGTGATTTCAGATCCCTGCTCTATTTGCTACTCACCTAACCTTGAGATTTATTTGGCTTTTTACTACTTTTAGTTTGAGCCTATTGAACTGTAAAGTGAAATATAGAATAAATGGTTCTTTTGGCCCATTCTTAACAGTCTATAATGGAGTTAGTTCAGAGAGAGCAAGTAGGTTTTAAGTTGAATAAAATTCCATTCAGTGGTTGCCTGGTATACTATTTCGCAGAAGAAATCTGAACAGGACACATCCTATTCAGAGCTACACAGATAACAGGAATGTGTGGCTTACAGATGCTTTTTGATTGTTGTTTTCATTGGATCTGGTAGAGAAATCATTGAACGGGAATTGGAGGAAATAGTATAGATTCTGTCACTACTATTGTGTAGCCTATGGCCGTGAGCAAGTTTCCTTCTATTCTGGTCTTCTGGGTTTCCTCACTTGAAAGTGGCGGAGTATAGTTCTAAGACAAAAACATTTTAGGATAATAAGAAACTTCCCTTGAAAATAGTAGGGAGTCAAGGAGAGACCTGACACCGTTAAGCTCTTGTTTTTACTGTACAAATGTTAACTGAGAAAGACAGACTCTGCTATGGCCATCACTTCATAAAGGAAAGTCTTATTTCAACGCCATTTAAAAACATGCCAGTCTGGGAGTTGAGGAAATGGCTTGGATGTAGAGTGTTTGCTGTGTAAGCATGAAGACACAAGTGCACTGCACAGTGCCCATGCGAACAGGCAGGTGTAGTAGCACACAATTGCAAGCCTAGCACTGAGGAAGTGGAGAAAGGTACCTGGGGCTCACTGTCTAGCCAGCCTAGAGTAACCAGCTAGTCCCAGTTCACAATAAAGCACTGTGGAAGGCTCCTGAGAAACGGCACCTGAGGTTGATTGATTTCTGGTGCGCGCACACACACACACACACACACACACACACACACACACACACACACACACACACTGCCAGGCTGATGAAGGTAGTAGGATGAACCGGCATCAGACCACTGCATAGAGAAGTCACTGTGTGAACTGATGCATGGGGTCTTCTTTGCAATTAATGTTCTTAGCCATGAGACTCATGTGAGTTCAGATAAGGATAAAGATGGGCTGAGCCTTCCCCTTCAAACCCGGTGAGATCCGTGGTCATTGCTTCTATTTAACACCCCATGACGGTCACACAGCTCTTCTGCTTTACTATAGGCATGAAGAGAACTCCAGTCCCACCAGCTATGGGGACCAGACATCCTTGCATCCAGCTGAAAACCTCGATAACGGACTCATTGACCAAAGAGTATTGAAACAGAGGTGAGACACCAACTTTATAGCATTTTTAAAGTCAAATTATGTTTGTCTTTATTTTTTATGAGATTTCATGTGTTTAAATACGCTGTAATTCAAAGCGTTTCATTGTCCTAGAAGGTAAGATTTTATCAAGTGATGGAGACACTGGATAAAATATCAAGGTTGAATTGACAAAGGTGTTTTCATGATGCTATACATTTCTTTCAAGTGTTTATTCTTAGATGGGGAAAACTATGTTCTTCCATGATGATCTATCCAGGGTAATTTGTAGATAATGTCCCTGTAGAACTTGAAATGAATAAATATCTTTGGTTTTGTCTTGAATTTTGGAGACTGTTTTAACTTGACTATTCCAGAAGGAGGTACTGGTCGCATAAGCAGTTTGTCAAATTTCCTGGTGATATTTCAGTGTATGGGTTCCATTGACTCAAAGGGGCAAAAAAACCTGTGGACCTAGAGAACCATATGTAGGAACCCAGTGCTCAGACAAAACTGATGAGGGGGTAGCAGATAAGAGATGACTCATCATCCTCCTGCAACCTCTTATAGCCACCCAGCCCAGGTGGTCTATGCATCCACTATGTATGGTAAGGAGTCCCTACAGAATGAAACATTTCAGGTCATCCAGGCATCCACCAAGCATGGTAAGAGTCCCTGAAGAGTGAACCACTATTCAGGTACAGAGGAAATGCCCGTAACAACCAATTAGGACTATGGTTCTGTGTGAGTGTGTGTGTGTGTGTGTGTGTGTCTATCTGTGTGTTTACAACCCCTTTACATTATCATCTGATTTAGTCTCTCCCTGGCACCGTCCATATTGCTTTCTCTTTTGATAAATGGATAAAACTGAGAGTTGGAGAAGTCAAAGTATTTCGAGACAGTTTCCTGATAGCATCTGTCTTACAGTGCAGCTGCATTTATTCCATGGCTCCTCTGGAGGATGGTGAGCTAGAAGATGGAAGGGAGAGCTGTGCTTGGTGGCACAGGCTTGTAATTAGTAGCAGCTACTTAGGAGGCTGAAGCAGGAAGATCAGAAATTCAAGATCACCCTGGGCAACTTAGTGAAACCCTGTCTCAAAATAAAACAAAAGTCTGGGTATACTATAGCTTGGGAAGATGAAAGGGAAAGACTAGGCGGAAAATCAGTTCCTTGTGTCCTCTCGGTTCAAAGCACGGTTTAGAAAATGCAAGTCCATTTTCAGGGCAGCTTCACTCCCGCCTTTCTGCCCACGGTGCTGTTTGATTCCTGAAGCTTTCCTTTGCTGCGGCTCCAGGTACGCAGAGTGAGCTGGGAATTTCCAGATGCCCTTTCAGAAGCTGCTAGTGCTGCTACTGCAACTACAGATGTGGGAGGAGGGATATGGGGGCCAGTATTAGTGCCGGTGGGACCCAGCTTCTTACCACTGTCTCCGATACGCTGTTGTCAAACAGGAATAATGATCCTCGCATTTACCATTCTTCATCGCACCTACCAAATGGAAGAAATCACAAGACTGCTTTAGAAGCCGAGAGAAAGGGAAAGGCTTAGAAACCAGAGCAACATATGCCCATAGCTGTTCACCTCGAAGTATCTCCTAAGCTGTGGGCTTCTATACTAGATCACCTATTACCATCCATCTAGAAAAGAAGCTCAAATTATACATATATGTGTATACATGCATATGTATGTGTGTATTATATGAGTCAATCTCTCCTACCTTCACATACATGGGAGTGTAAGAAACAAAAGTCCATGAACACTAAAGACAAAATAGGCTTATTGTAAGAAAAGCAACTCAGAATATCTGGGGCAGAATCCGTAAGTTTCTCTGGCCCCAAGGGCCTGGTTCTGGACCGCTTCCTTCATTTATGCTTCCCTGCCCTCCTCCTTCCTCTGCTTTTCCTTAGGAGGATGCAGTATCCTGCTAATGACAGATGCTCTGCTCCCTCTATACTGACTCACTCTGCATCAGCTCCATAGAAATTCTCTCTGATAATAGCTCAGCTCTCTAATGCCAACTGGCCCAGCCATTCTTTACTGCTTCATTCATGTATCTGGGGAAGGGAAACTCAGAGACCCTGCATGGTCCTATAGATTGGAGAAGGATAGAGATCGCATCATTTCATGTTCTATCTCAGTGACAACACCATCCAGCCATGTGAACTAAAATAACTAAAGGCATCCTCAATATTTTTCTTCTGCCCCTCTACTAGTCTATCCATTTGATAGTTATATATCAAGGGCCTCTTGTGTGTCTTTTGTGTTAGGCTGTGTGGTCCCCTCACCTGGCTGCCTATCTAGAACCTGCCCATCGTTTAGAACTATTTAGGCAGCCTCCTGTGACATCCAGACCATCCAGGTTCAGCACTTCTATAAACAGTATCTTCTTTGTAATTCTTTTTCTGCTTACAAAAAGGAACAAAAACCTTGGCTTATTAAAGTCTATTCCCTCCTCAGACTATAACCACCTCAGAGACAATGACCACATCTTTTTATTTTATAGACTGAATTTACCTCAGCCTCCGTGGCACCTCAAAATCCAATCAGACTTCCAAAACTGAGCTGATGAATGTGAACCAAAGAAAGACAATGTACTTTTGGGAGACAGGATATATGTTTGAATAGCAGCAATTTCTTTTTAGACCTTTTAAGGCAGTCGATATCAAATGTGGTGATCTTATAAGCACAGCTTTGGGACTTATTTCCCATTCACTCATAGCAGGCAATAAATTTGAAGGTGTTGCCCACTAGATTTTCATGAAGGCAACTGTTTTCAAGAGGTGGGAATGGGCCACAGAGAAAGTGCTGGTTTAGGGGGCTCCATCCCCTTCCCCTTGCCTCCCCCAAGTCATTTCTGTAACTATTTGGAAGGAAAACACCACCTGATGCCCTTGAGGACTTAGTAGGAGACACATCTAAGCACCTGATACTTGTCACCAGGTCACACAGAGGTAGTTGTGGTTATTTGGGCTATTTTCTCCCATGTTTCCTGATGGGGGCTCAAGCTTTCCATGTAGACTATTTGCAGATAAAAAGGAAAAAGAGTCTCTAGAGACTGAACACTCACATGACTTCAGTTGTGGTCAAAGTATCTGGAAAAGTCTTTGGCTGCAGTCAAAAGATGTGTATCCCAGGATACAAAATACCATGGCACTCTAGAGCAACAGTTTTCTTGGGTGACAGGTGATTCTGTGCTTGTTACTGAGTGGTTTAAATGGCTTTCTGGATTTATTAGGTGACATTATCATGTACTTGAGGAGGGCTTCTTCTGTAGTGGAATTCTGTGTTCTTTTTTTTTTTTTTCAGTCTACGTACTTAAAAACTCTTCATTTCTCTTTTAGTGCCCAGTAAGGCAAGAAAACAGATAAACCAAGGTTTCCTACATGCCATTTTAAAGATGCTTTACTTTTAAGTCCATGTACCCTACCTTACTCCTGCCTTGATGCATAATTATACATTAGTCATGGTTTCATGTGTATTTACTTTAATGACTTTTCTCGTGGTCTGGCTCCTGCTGTGAGATGGTGTACAATGAGCTTTTCCTGCCACTGCTCTCTGAAGCAAATATCAGTGGATCCTCAGCATTTCTGATGTATTAGTCACAGTCATTTTCACATTGGTATTTCAGAAAAGAGACAGCAACACAACTGTGGTAGTCTATTACAGACTGTAATAAAGGGAAGGCTTAGTAATTAAAGTGTGGCAGCCCAGTTAGAGTGGTTTAGAACAGGTTCTGATCAGATACGCAGTGAGTCTTCCTGATGCTGCTGGTGAATAAAATCAGGGGCCTGTACATGATAGCTGAGCACTCCGCCACTGTGCTAGGTCCCAGCCTTGTGAGCTAGGTCCCAGCCTTGTGATAGCATTCCCAGTTCCTATATGCTTGTGTCCCTTGTTCTGTTGGCCAGGAACCATGGGAGGTGATTATCAGAGACTAATCATACCTTTGTTGTATTAACAAATATTCACTATATAAGGAAACAAGTATTTTACACATTTTTCTATGGTTATTCATAATTGAGTCAAATCTATATGACCAGATTAGAGAATGAAAGAGTCTTGTAGGAGAATCTTGTGATTAGATGGGAGGTCTTGGGACCCTCTCCTATAGCTAGGGGTTCACACACAGCTCTACAAAGCAGATGAGCTGAGAAAAAGAGGTAAATGTAAGTATTAGATGAGCATGTCAAGCCTGAGAGGGCAGAGATGATAAGGTTGGGGACCAGGGACAAGCAAATAGTTAAGAGCTTAGTTTTGGAGCCCGGATTTGTTATTTACCAACTAAGTAACAAGTTCTCTAGCCTGAGTGGGACTTATTTCTCATCTGTAAATGAATGGAATGGTGGCTTAATATATGAAAAGTTCTTAGGACCTGTCACACAGTTGGCATACATAAATTTTAACAATCATTTGTATTATGGCAAACATGGAAGTCCAGTGAGATTCAAATTATTCTGATCTCAACTCAAAGGTGGTCCCATGTAACGAGCATTCTTCCCACCAGGCTGGTCCCAGTGCCGCATCAACCCCAAATAATACACAGAGACTCTATTAGTTACAGTGCTGTTGGCCAATATCCAGGGCTTCTCATTGGCTAGTTCTGTCTTAAGTATTAACTCATGACTACTATTATATATTTTTATAAGGACTTAACTTTCTGAGGATTGCATCCTGACGTGTTCTCTCTTCCCCAGGATCACATGGCAACCTTCCACTCTTGACTACATTTCCCAGAATTCTCTCCTATCTTGCTTCCCTATTGGCTAACAGTGCTTTATTTATACCAATCAGACAAACATATACACAGAAGGACATCCCCCATCACTCCCAGGTAGAAAATAAAGGCTTATGCCAGAATGTTTGGGGTAGTTATCCCCTCCCAAGACTCAGGCTCTAGGCCAGAAGAGGGAACATTCCTGTCCTAGAAGGTCTGGCCCACGCGTTGAGAGTTATGATAGAAAACAGAACAAGGAGAGGTGGAGAGAAGCTTGCAGTCTCAACAGACAGGCATCATTATCACTGC